ACGGAGCTTAGCGATTTTTTCAAAAAAATCATATACTGACGGTTAACTTGTCAAGGTCTGATTTCTCGTCCTGTAATAAAAGCCTTCTGCTTCGACCGCCAAAACTTTGTAGGGAGCATTTGCAACCGTTTGGCACCATTTTTGAGTGAATTGCCAAAAGTCAGATTTTTGATGGAATTGTGACCCCGGGCTTAGGGATTTTTTCAAAAAAACTTTTTCTGCCGGTTAAGTTGTCGAGGGCTGATTTCTTTGGCTGTGACAAAAGCCTTCTGTTTCGACCGCCAAACCTCTCAGGGAGCATTTGCAACCGATTGGCACCATTTTAGAGTGAATTGCCGAAAGTCAGATTTTTCCAGAAATTGTGACCCCCGGGCCTTAGCGATTTTTTCAAAAAATCTTTGTCTGCCGGTTGAGTTTTCGAGGGCTCATTTCTTTTGCTGTGATAAAAGTCTTCTCTTTTGACCGCCAAACCTCTCAGGGAGCATTTGCAACCGATTGGCACCATTTTAGAGTGAATTGCCGAAAGTCAGATTTTTTCAGAAATTGTGACCCGGGGCTTAGCGATTTTTTCAAAAAATCTTTTTCTGCCGGTTAAGTTTTCGAGGGCTGATTTCTTGTGCTGTGATAAAAGCCTTCTGTTTCGACCGCCAAACCACTCAGGGGAGCAATTTCAACCGATTTGCACCATTTTTGAGTGAATTTCCGCAAGTCAGATTTTTTATGAAATTGTGACCCCGGGGCTTAGCGATTTTTTCAAAAAAATCTCTGTCTGCCGGTTAAGTTGTCGAGGGCTGATTTCTTTTGCTGTGATAAAAAGCCTTCTGTTTCGACCGCCAAACCTCTCAGGGGAGCATTTGCAACCGATTGGCACCATTTTTGAGTGAATTGCCGAAAGTCAGTTTTTTTATGAAATTGTGACCCCGGGGCTTAGCGATTTTTTTAAAAAAATCTCTGTCTGCCGGTTAAGTTGTCGAGGGCTGATTTCTTTGGCTGTGATAAAAAGCCTTCTGTTTCGACCACCAAACCTGTCAGGGGAGCATTTGTAACCGTTTGGCACCATTTTTGAGTGAATTGCCAAAAGTCAGGTTTTTTCAGAAATTGAGAACCTTAGGGATTTTTTCAAAAAAATCTTTTTCTACCGGTCAAGTTGTCGAGGGCTGATTTCTTGTCCTGTGATAAAAAGCCGTCTCTTCGACCGCCAAACCTCTCAGGGGAGCATTTGCAACCGTTTGGCACCATTTTTGAGTGAATTGCCGAAATTCAGATATTTGATGAAATAGTGACCCCCGGGGCTTAGGGATGTTTTCAAAAAATCTTTTCTGCCGGTTAAGTTGTCGAGGGCTGATTTCTTTTGCTGTGATAAAAAGCCTTCTGTTTCGACCGCCAAACCTCTCAGGGGAGCATTTGCAACCGTTTGGCACCATTTTTGAGTGACTTGCCAAACGTCTGATTTTTGATGAAATTGTGACCCCGGGGGTTAGCGATTTTTTTCAAAAGAATCTTTTTCTGCCGGTTAAGTTGTCGAGGGCTGATTTCTTTGGCTGTGATAAAAAGCCTTCTGTTTGGACCGCCAAACCTCTGAGGGGAGCATTTGCTACCGATTGGCACCATTTTTGAGTGAATTGCCTAAAGTCAGTTTTTTGATGAAATTGTGACCCCGGGGCTTAGGGATTTTTGCAAAAAAATCTTTTTCTGCCGGTTAAGTTGACGAGGGCTGATTTCCTGTCCTGTGATAAAAAGCCTTCTGTTTCGACCACCAAACCAATCAGGGGAGCATTTCCAACAGTTTGGCACCATTTTTGAGTGAATTGCCAAAAGTCAGACTTTTACAGAAATTGTGACCCCGGGGCTTAGGAATTTTTGCAAAAAAATCTTTTTCTGTCGGTTAAGTTGTCGAGGGCTGATTTATTGTCCTGTAATAAAAAGCCTTCTGTTTCGACCGCAAAACCTCTCAGGGGAGCATTTGCAACCGTTTGGCAGATTTTTGAGTGATTTGCCGAAAGTCAAGATTTTTTCATAAATTGTGACCCCGGGGCTTAGGGATTTTTGCAAAAAAATCTTTTTCTGACGGTTGAGTTGTCGAGGTCTGATTTCTCGTACTGTGATAAAAAGCCTACTGTTTCGACCACCAAACCTTTCAGGGGAGCATTTGCAACCGTTTGGCACCATTTTTGAGTGAATTTCCGAAAGTCAGATATTTGATGAAATTGTGACCCCGGGGCTTAGGGATTTTTTCAAAAAAATCTTTTTCTGCCGGTTAAGTTGTCGAGGGCTGATTTCTTTGGCTGTGATAAAAAGCCTTCTATTTCGACCGCCAAACCTCTCAGGGGAGCATTTCCAACCGTTTGGCACCATTTTTGAGTGACTTGCCAAACGTCTGGTTTTTTATGAAATTGTGACCCCGGGGCTTAGGGATTTTTCCAAAGAAATCTTTTTCTGCCGATTAAGTTGTCGAGGGCTGATTTCTTGTCCTGTAAGAAAAAGCCTTCTGTTTCGACCGCCAAACCTCTCAGGGGAGCATTTGCAACCGTTTGGCACCATTTTTGAGTGACTTGCCAAACGTCTGATTTTTGATGAAATTGTGACCCCGGGGGTTAGCGATTTTTTTCAAAAGAATCTTTTTCTGCCGGTTAAGTTGTCGAGGGCTGATGTCTTTGGCTGTGATAAAAAGCCTTCTATTTCGACCGCCAAACCTCTCAGGGGAGCATTTCCAACCGTTTGGCACCATTTTTGAGTGAATTGCCAAAAGTCAGACTTTTACAGAAATTGTGACCCCGGGGCTTAGGGATTTTTGCAAAAAAATCTTTTTCTGACGGTTGAGTTGTCGAGGGCTGATTTCCTGTCCTGTGATAAAAAGCCTTCTGTTTCTACCCCCAAACCTTTCAGGGGAGCATTTGCAACCTATTGGCACCGTTTTTGAGTGAATTGCCGAAAGTCAGATTTCTTATGAAATTGTGATCCCGGGCCTTAGGGTTTTTTTCCAAAGAAATCTTTTTCTGCCGGTTAAGTTGTCAAGGTCTGATTTCTTGTCCTGTGATAAAAAGCCTTCTGTTTCGACCGCCAAACCTCTCAGGGGAGCATTTGCAACCGTTTGGCACCATCTTTGAGTGACTTGTCAAACATCTGATTTTTGCTGAAATTGTGACCACGCGGCTTAGGGATTTTTTCAAAAAAAAGTTGTTCAAACGTCGAGGGCTGTCAGGGATCTGCCATCAGTATCCGAGGGAGAGAGCAAGCTCCAAATGGATCCCAGAGAGCGTCCCGGGAGTGGGAGAGGCAGCCGTCTTCTGGGGAAGAGAATCAACGTAGCTCCAGTGGAGAAGGGGGGCAGTTGGGTGAATCGGCGAGGCGGTCCCATGACTCCTTGCCGGGGACCAGCGGGGAGAGGAGGGGTCCTCCACTGCCTACGCCCTCCTTGCGCAGAAGGCTTCCGCGCAGGGAGAGTAGGAGGAGACTTGGCATCAAAGAGCTTCTTTGCTGGAAGAAGTTTAAGAAACACCCACTGACGGATTCTGCCAGCGATTGAGACAGTCACGGGCGAGTGGCTGCCCGGACAGGAAAGGTTCACTCAGGCAACCCAGCCAGAGGTTGGGACAAGCTTACGCACGAGCAACCCCTAGAACCATTACACTCGGGTTAAGTACTTAATTCATTCCGGAGGTCCGTCCTTAACCTGAAACTGTTCTTAACCTGAAGCACCACTTTAGCTAATGGGGCCTCCTACTGCCGCCGCACCGCCGGAGCATGATTTCTGTTCTTATCCTGAAGCAAAGTTCTTAACCTGAAGCACTATTTCTGGATTGGCGGAGTGTGTAACCTGAAGCGTATGTAACTTGAAGCATATGTAACCCGAGGTACCACTGTATATGATCGAATCCCACCCCCAAATAGCCGCTGTCCAGAAGCACCTTTTGCGAACGAACCTTTTCTTGAGATCCGTCTGTAACATCAATCATATGAATGTATTATTTAGAATTGAGGAGCTTCTGGTGCACAGAACAGTACTATAGATGGGCTTAAAGCAGGATTCAGGCATTTGCTTAATTAATCTGGATTATGAAAGAGCTATTTGAAAAATGTGCTGCTGGAAGCTGATTTGAATTTCTGCTCCTGTTGCTAAATTGTAATGTTGCTAGGCATTTAGAAGCAGAACTTGATTGGAAGATCTAGGACTATGGCAAAGTAGACAAAGTTAACCCAAATGTTGCTTAATCAGGAAATGGCAAATCTAGGCGAAATATGCTTGAGATTAAATAGGAACTATTTCTTAATTATGCGAGTAGGCTTCCTAGACTTCGGCAGCTTACTGCAGATAAATGTGCTGCAGCTGGAAAAGAATTTCCTTGATGATAAGGCGTGCGTTGGCTTTTAATGGGAATAAATAATTCAATGTTTTCTCTAAACGGGAAGCACTCTAAATGGCTGTAATGTGGACGAGGAGTGTCTCATAAAAGGAAACATGAAGAACCCTATGAGTTTTCAGATACTTAGCGAAGTGGCATCTCATTTTGGACATGTTTGCTGTTCAGGTGAGAACTATTGCACCCCTCGTGGTCTCTTTGGAGTGAGCTGGAGTGCTCTGAAAAGCAGCTAACAAAGCCTTAAGCCCCATGGCAACTAATCTGCATCCAATGTGCAGGAGCAAGACTTTTGCTCGCCTTCAGTATGCACCGACATGAAGCAAGGGGAGAGTGGCCCTCAGGCACTGGCTGAGGTTCCTGCTCTGCCTGGTAATCATTAATTGTCCCACTGAGGGATGCAAGACAATGGCAGCACCAGAAGGACAACCCAGTCCCGCCGGGACCAGCGCTAACTGCTTCTGCGTGGAAAAAGGGTGTGTTGTTTGGGGTCTTTTTTGTGTATAGCACATTGGAATGATGTTCCTTTGGGAAGGGCGGGGATCCCTGACTCCGGGCTCACTCCATCTCAGTGCAGGAAGTCAGAGCCCAGGTCTGTCTCAAGAATTTCCAAAAGCTCAAAGCGCTTCTTGCCCGGCCAACATGAAGCAAGCAGCTTTTTGGAATACTCTGGAATATACCTGCCGACTTTTGGGAATCTCCACTGGAGCAGGTAAGAAGCACTGTTGGTGTGATTTTCTGCCCTGCGTTTCTGACATGGATACCACTCTGGTTTCTGAAATTCATTCTTACTTTATTTTCTTATACAGGCGTACTACTTTTGACACCAGAAACCTTCCCAAGATTACAAAATGAATTAAAGTAAACCTATAAGCAATAAATTTGGGCAGTGTACATATAGATCCACAGTTCTTTTCCTGAGAGTCCGTCCCTTTGAACAAATAGAATTTAAATGACATAATCCATATACTGTATGTTTAAAGACCAATGGCACTGATTTAACAGCATCTTTCTTATTGGTGTACATGATGAAAGGCCACTAATCTGCCGATTATCTGTTTCTCTCCCTCTTTTTTTACCCCTGGCCAAATGTATCCTTTGTGTCAATTTCTCAGTTAATGTGAATTCCCAAATGGAATTCACCACTTTGTTCCTCCTGGTTTTTGCTTGTGGCAGATGAAAATTTGATCTGACTTGGATCCCCGCGCCAACCCCAGTTTAAATGGGTTTCACAAAATACAGTACGAGAGCCTGCCCCAGGTGAGGATGATGGAGGTGTGCACGGATGAACTAGATTAGTTGTCTGAGTTTTGAAGACCCGACAGGATGCCCATCTTTTAACTAGCACTATCCTGAAGTTTTTGCTGGTAACTCTCTGTGGTGAATTCATGGGTGGTTGAGGGTAGGGGGGAGAAACCAATCTGTTTTCAAAGCAAAGGCGAATGTGGGCAGAGGTGGCGAACCATCCTTAAGAACAACAACTTTTGCAGAAAGTTGCTGTGCTGCTTCAAGCTGACTGAGATATGTTGCAGTGGGCAGGAACATGACAACCTGGCTGGTCTCCAACTATCTGCGCCTGTTCTTTCCTGCTCGAGGTTGTAGAATCACAGAATTGTAAAATTGAAAGGGACACCAAGGTCCTCTAGTCGAGTCTCCTGTAATGCAGGAATCACTGCTAAAGAATCCCTGAGAGATGGCCATGCAACCTCTACAATTTTTTTTTTTTTTTTTTTTTAGCTTAACAGCACCTCTGTTCTTCAGTACTGCACCAGGGTAGATGCTTTCTTCCATCGTTCTCTCCTGATGTAAGGAATTATGTACACATAACATGCAATCGGGACGCGGGTGGCGCTGTGGTCTAAACCACTGAGCCTTGGACTTGCTGATCGGAAGGTCGGCGGTTTGAATCCCTGCGACGGGGTGAGCTCCCATTGCTCGGTCCCAGCTCCTGCCAACCTAGCAGTTTGAAAGCACATCAAAAGTGCAAGTAGATAAATAGGTACCACCCTGGCGGGAAGGTAAACAGTGTTTCCGTGTGCTGCTCTGGTTTCGCCAGAAGCGGCTTAGTCATGCTGGCCAATGACCCGGAAGCTGTACGCTGGCTCCCTCAGCCAGTAAAGTGAGATGAGCGCTGCAACCCCAGAGTCGGTCACGACTGGACCTAATGGTCAGGGGTCCCTTTACCTTTACCTTTAACATGCAGTCGGGACGTAGGTGGCGCTGTGGTGTAAACCAATGAGCCTTGGGCTTGCCTATCAGAAGGTCGGCGGTTTGAATCCCTGCGACGGGGTGAGCTCCTGTTGCTCGGTCCCAGCTCCTGCCAACCTAGCAGTTCGAAAGCACGTCAAAAGTGCAAGTAGATAAATAGGTACCACCCGGGCAGGAAGGTAAACAGCGTTTCCCTATGCTGCTCTGGTTTTGCCAGAATCGGCTTAGTTATGCTGGCCACATGACCCGGAAAAACTGTCTGTGGACAAACGTCGGCTCCCTCGGCCAGTAAAGTGAGATGAGTTCCGCAACCTCAGATTCGTTTGTGACTGGACTTAACTGTCAGGGGTCCTTTACCTTTTTTAACATGCAATCAGTGCTTTTTTTTCCTTAAAAAAATTGTTTAGGGGTACTCTCATTTTCCTACACATATTGAAATACTGCCTCTCAATGAGGCCAAACTTAGATTCACAAAATGTTTAGGGCTATGCGTACCCCTGTGTACCCCCAGAAAAAAAGCACTGCATGCAATTAAGCAGACAGATATGAGACTCTTGTACAGGGGGTCAGGCTGGGGGGTCTGTATGAAGAATTCAGAGGATAGCCATCTTCAAAGATGCTTGTAGGGTTTTTCTGCCTCAGGTGCCAAAACAGCTCAATCCAGCCTTGGTACCCTGGAACTAGACTTGGTGGGAGTGGCCTGCGTTGCTTTGCCTCAGGCAGCAAAATGCCTTGGGCACTGCCGGGCTGCTCTTTCCTGCCCAGCAACCACAAGTCGGGGAAAGGACTGCACCGTGCGGCAAATACTTCAGATCACTGGAGTCATTACTAGGTCACTATCTAACAGGGTAAATTCCCCCCCTATCTTGCTCAAATAATAGTCATGAGTGGAATCTTGAGTTCTATCCTTGCAGCAGTATTATTTAAAACAAACGAACAAGAAAGCATTCGGCAAAGCTGAATAGATGTAAGCAATGCAAGTAAGCAAACAAACTGCAGTTCGTTAAATTAGTCTGTAGTTTTCCAGCTCAAAAGTGTTTTCACTGGACTTTTCAGAAGGTGCATGGAAATTCGTTAGCAATAGGAAAGATTCCATAGGGGAGCACCTAAATCGTGTGCCATGCAGGCATAAGCTATGCAGATTCAGTCACCAGTATTTCCACCTCAAGAGATGAACTCACACAGGTGTGTTGGGAGGAACTCCTACAGAAACACTGCAGAGTGCTGTAGTTACTGCTAGTTCGTGTAGACATTTATATGCTATGAAGACAGTGCTGCATTTACATATAAGCTAAATAAGCTATAGCTTAGGGCCCCACTCTCTTGGGGGCCCCCAAAAAAATTAAAGGAAAAAAAATCTGGATGTACATTTCCAAAATATAAGATAAAAAACAAATAAAATAAAACCTACATACAGCAACAGTGTTTTGTGTTGTGTAGGCTCCTATGATGTAAGTCATGGGCCCCGCCTGCTAGCCTGCTCCCTAAAATATCACTGGTTTGCTCATTTCTATATATAGGGTGCCTACATTCTGCATGTGCCAATGGCTTTAGGTACCTATTAGGTCCATAAATTACCATATAGCATATATTCAACACAAAAAACAGTGACAATCTGTTGTTGACAAAGGACAGCTGGACATATAAAGTGCCCCATTACCTTCAGTAGCTTAAAGGTAAAGGTAAAGGTACCCCTGCCCGTACGGGCCAGTCTTGACAGACTCTAGGGTTGTGCACCCATCTCACTCAAGAGGCCGGGGGCCAGCGCTGTCCGGAGACACTTCCGGGTCACGTGGCCAGCATGACAAAGCCGCATCTGGCGAGCCAGCGTAGCACACGGAAACGCCGTTTACCTTCCCGCCAGTAAGCGGTCCCTATTTATCTACTTGCACCCGGGGGTGCTTTCGAACTGCTAGGTTGGCAGGCGCTGGGACCGAACAACGGGAGCGCACCCCGCCGCGGGGATTCGAACTGCTGACCTTTCGATCGGCAAGCCCTAGGTGCTGAGGCTTTTACCCACAGCGCCACCCGCGTCCCCCTTCAGTAGCTTAGGGCGTCATATATGCTACATGATAATTTATGGACCTACAGTGGTACCTCGGGTTACATATGCTTCAGGTTACATATGCTTCAGGTTACAGACTCCGCTAACCCAGAAATAGTACCTCGGGATAAGAACTTTGCTTCAGGATAAGAACAGAAATCGCATGGCGGCGGCGTGGCGGCAGCAGGAGGCCCCATTAGCTAAAGTGGTGCTTCAGGTTAAGAACAGTTTCAGGTTAAGAACGGACCTCCGGAACGAATTAAGTACTTAACCTGAGGTACCACTGTAATAGGTATCTAAAGCCATTTGCAGATAACAAAATATGTATTTTATCAAAGTAATTGTTGAACTGTGATATTTTAGGGAGCAGGCTAGCAGGCGGGGCCCATGACTTACATCATAGGAGCCTACACTACACAAAACACTGTTGCTATATGTAGATTTATTTTATTTGTTTTTTATCTTATATTTTGGAAATATACACCCAGTTTTTTCCTTTAAATTTTTTTTGGGGCCCCCAAGAGATTGGAGCCCTAAGCTATAGCTTGTTTAGCTTATACGTAATTCCGGCACTGCGTGGAGCTTATCCAACAGAATTTTTCAGGTTCCCATTTTCCTCTTGCCAGTTCCACTAAAAATATGAAAGGTTATCACATTATATGCGTGACTACATGTAGAATTTTTATGTGTTAAATACTCCTGGTTTCCTAAAGTAACCAGTGCACATAACTGTAAAAAAACACTTATGCAAATATGCTGCAAAAATATTGACTCTTTTGTACGCATTATACATATATTATGTGTAATATTTTGCATATCATTAGTTGGACTGGTTAAGGGAAAACAACAACTTTATTTGACCACGAACCAGTAGCTCAGACATAAGCAGGCACTCAGTACGAGAGATGGACTCATTTAGGCAAACTTGATAGGGTTGGAAGCGCCAAATTCTGCATATAAATTCCATTTAATTCCATTCCTGTGGAGGGGTATCTTTGTAAAAACAAATGGAGGCACCTGCATAATTAGCTATTGTTCCTTAGTGCATATCCACTGCAAATTTGCAGACACGAGAAAAGGAAACGCACAATGTTGCCATCTTTACACTGGCATTTGCCACGGTACACAAACTAGCAAATGTTTCTGCCCTATAATGTGTGATTTGTTGCCGCTTTGGCTTGCTGAGTAATTGGAATGCGCCGGTTTCTCTCACCGACACACGGAGCCGTTTCACTGTATGGCTAGTTGAGACCAGTCTTGGTTTAGGGATTAAACACTGAATGAAAGGAAAGGAGATCGGAATGGAATGTTCCAGGCGTCACAATTCAGATCCCTGGGAAGGGGTAATGCTTTCCTTCTGAACCAGGTCTACCCAAGCCAAAGCTCATTACAGCGCCTAATTCCTCTGAGCCTTTTCGGTGGCATGAATGCTGTAGTTACTGCCATTCATGGACATACACGCTTGGTATTCTCTCTCTATCTGGGCTTCTCCAGACTTCCTCTTGTCCCACTGTTTTCCCCTGATGAAACCTGCTCTTCAACGCACAATCAGAGCAAACGGCAATTTGAGTTTGAAGCCTAATCATAGAATCGTAGAGTTGGAAGAAACCCCAAGGGATTCTGCAATGCAGGAACCTGGACTAAATCATTCATGACAGATGGCCATCCAACCTCTGCTTAAAAACCTCCAAGGAAGGAGACTCCATGACCTCCTGAGAGAGACCATTCCATTGCCTAACAGCTCTTACTGTCAGAAAGTTCTTGCCGATGTTTAGTTGGAATCTCCTTCTTGTAACTTGAAGCCATCGGTTCAGGTCCTACGCTCCAGAGCAGGAGAAAACAAGCTTGCTCCATCTTCCATGTCACAGCCCTTAAAGATATTTGAAGATGTCTATGATCATATCCGGGACGCGGGTGGTGCTGTGGGTTAAACCACAGAGCCTAGGACTTGCCAATCAGAAGGTCAGCGGTTCGAATCCCCGCAACGGAGTGAGCTCCTGTTGCTTGGTCCCAGCTCCTGCCAACCTAGCAGTTTGAAAACACGTCAAAGTGCAAGTAGATAAATAGGTACCGCTCCGGTGGGAAGGTAAACGGCGTTTCCGTGCGCTGCTCTGGTTCGCCAGAAGCGGCTTAGTCATGCTGGCCACATGACCCGGAAGCTGTACGCCGGCTCCCTCGGTCAATAAAGCGAGATGAGCGCCACAACCCCAGAGTTGGTCACGACTGGACCTAATTGTCAGGGGTCCCTTTACCTTTTATGATCATATCTCCTCTCAGTACCCTCTAAACACCCATGGCTAAACACACCCATCTCCCTCAACCGTTCCTCATAAGGCTTGGTTTCCAGACCCTTGATCATCTTGGTCACCCTCCTCTGCACACATGCCAGCTTGTTAACATCCTTCTTAAATTGTGGTGCCCAGAATTGGACGCAGTATTCCAGGTGTGGTGTGACCAAGGCAGAAATCAGAGTAGTCCTATTACCAGGTTTTTGTTGATACAGCCCAGTGGATAGCCCTATCCTTTACTGGAACATCCTTCCAGACATTCTTATCAAAAAGCTGATGGAACTAGACCTATCTTCTACCATCTGTCACTGGATTAAAGACTTTCTGAGGGATCGGACACAAACAGTGAGGATTGGGCCTGTTACATCTACCTCCCTGAAGCTCAGCACTGGCACCCCACAGGGATGTGTGCTGAGTCCCTACCTGTACTTGTTGTATACATATGACTGTATTTCATCTGATCCATCTACTGCAATGATTAAGTTTGCAGATACTACCATAATGGGTCTAATTACAGGTGGAGATGAATCAGCGTACAGGGGGGAGGTTCAAAAAGTATCTACATGGTGCCTAGAGAATAACTTGCACCTAAATATTACCAAGACAAAGGAGATGGTGTTGGACTTTTGGAGGAAGAGAGCGGAACTAGCCCCATTGTATATTGGGGGGGGGGAGGGTTGTGTGGAGAGAGTCTCTTCCTTTAAATTCCTGGGCATTTACCTTAGTGAAGACCTCACTCGGAAAAACAATATAACTCAGGTGCTTAGGAAGGCCCAACAGAGACTCCATTTCCTCAGGGTCTTGCGAAAGAACAATGTTAAACAACAGTTGATGACCTCCCTCTACCGGTCCACAATAGAGAGTGTCCTCTCATATTGTATCACAGTGTGGTACGTTGGCTTGACAGCCACAGACAGAAAGTCTTTACAGAGGGTGGTGAACACAGCACATGATATCATGGGCTGACGTCTGATGGGAGGGCGTTCCACAGGATGGGCACCACTACCGAGAAGGCCCTCTGCCTGGTTCTCTGTAACTCCACTTCTCGCAGTGCGGGAACTGCCAGAAGGACCTTGGCGCTGGACCTCAGTGTCCGGGCTCGATGATGGACATAGAGATGCTCCTTCAGGTATACTGGGCTGAGGCCATTTAGGGCTTTAAAGGTCATCACCAACACTTTGAATTGTGCTCGGAAACGTACTGGGAGCCAATGTAGGTCTTTCAGGATAAGTTATATGGTCTCGGTGGCCATTCCCAGTCACCAGTCTAGCTGCCACATTCTAGTTTAGTTGTTGTTTCCAGGTCAAAGATCCCAGATTGTACTGGTCCCGGGGGGAGGTTACTGTGAGGCGTGGTCAGAGTTCGGTCCTGGGTCAAGGGTCTGGAGACTGTCCACCAAGGGTGAAGCAGGGTCCAAAGCGAGAAGCCGGGCGTGGTCAGGAACTCTGGGAGAACAGGTCTGGGTGCTGGCAGAAACAGGTTTCCAACGACGTTGCTCCCACCACCTGGGACTGGGCTGACTGGCCTTTATCTCCTCTGAGGCCAGGGGCGGTCCCAGCCCACAGGTGACCCGCCTCTCCTGGCCTTAAGGCGAGCACTCATCCTCAGAGAACTTAGTTCCCTCCGCCTCTCTGCCCTGAGCCTCTGCAGCTCAGGAGAGACTGGAGGGCTACTGGACCCAGGAGCAGCTTCACCTTCCCCTGACAGGGCTGGGAGAGGCACACCTGCAGGCAATGAGCCCTCAATCACCTCCGGAGACAGAGTGGATACATCTGGTGTCTGCTCCTGAGGATCCGGCACAGGTGCAGGCGCTTCAGATTCAAGGCCCTGCCCCGGCTCAGCCGGCCCTGAAGGCGGGGACTCCTGTGCAGGCTGGGACTCCTCAGGTGCAGCTTCTGAATCAGACTCCCAGGTCATCACACAGATTCACAAGATCTCATGCATGCCAAAAAATCTTGCTAAAATCTTGAGAGCTCACTGAAATATTGTGGGGTCATATGTGCTCCGCAAGATTTTGATGGAAACCACCACTGGCAAGGCAGGATTGGCTGCCCCTCTGGGGGGGGTGTGATGGCCTGGGAATCTGATTCAGAGGCTGAACCGGAGGAATCCCAGCCTGCACAGGAGTCCCCGCCTCCAGGGCCGGCTGAACTGGGGCAGGGCCTTGATTGTGAATCCACTCTGGCTCCGGAGGTGGTTGACGACTCAGTGCCTACAGGTGAGTCTCCCCCTGGGTCCAGTAACCCTTCAGCCTCTCCTGAACTGCAGAGGCTCAGGGCAGAGAGGCGAAGGGAACTGGTTTCTCCCAGGAGGAGTGCTCACCTTAAGGCCAGGAGAGCGGGTCTCCTGGGGGCCGGGACCGCCCCTGGCCTTAGAGAAGATAAAGGCCAGTCAGCCCGGTCCCAGGTTGTGGGAGCAACGTCGTTGAAGAGCTGTTTCGGCCAGCATCCAGTCCTGTTCCCCCAGAGTTCCTGTCCTTGCCCGGCTTCTCGCTGTGGACCCCGCTTCGCCCGAGGAGGACTGTCTGCCGACCCTCAACTCAGGTCCTGGACCTCGCCCCACGGTAACCTCCCCCCTGGACCAGCACAGGGGCTGACCCATGGAGTTGTTTATCTTTGGAGGGCATTGCACAACAGAGTAAAATGACTCCCAATGCCCCCAGATCCCAAGTGTTATTCCTTGTTCTCGTCTGTGTTTTGTTTCAGTGCTCATTGGCGTTGGCACAGACACACTGCTCCTGGGTCAGTTCAAGAGCCTGGCTGTCTACTTGCTGTGAGTATGGCTGTCTGATTTAGGGGAAATAACGTGGATTTGCGAGAGCGCCTAAATAAGCTTGTGCTGGTCGATGTAAGGACGTCTGCAAACCTGGGCCTGACTTCATATACCATATACAGATGTCAGGGACCATGCTGAGGAGGGCTGCACTGAGGGGGAAAGGTGGGAGCTTCCCCCTCCCCCTGCTCCTGCTCCTTCCCAGGAACAGGAGGACAGTATAGATTTGGAACAGTGGTTTGCAGAGGGGCATAGTTCAGAAGGCAGAAGCTGGGGAATACTGGATGGGGAACCGTCAGCAGAAGCTACACTAGAAGAGAGAGAGTTAACAGATTCACAGTCTCTGGACAGCATTCAACCCCCTTCTCCAAGAACACGGAGAGCTCAGAAAGTGTTAGAACGGAAAGCGCAGAGGGTTCAAGCTCAGTTTACAAGACGTAGGAGTAACGTAGATTAATAGGGACAGAGAAGGGGAGTAACCCTTAATTGGGAGCACTGCCATCTCTTTGTTCTCTCACCGTGATTATTAAAGATTCTAACTGGTAAGACGTTCCTTTCGTTTTATCTTTTGTTTACTGCCACGGGGGAGGAAGTCGATTCCCCGAAGCCTGACAACAGGATGCCGAATACTGCACTATGGTCATATCAAGTGTCCTTTGAGGGCAACAGGGTTTCAGCATCCTGTCAGGGGCCTGAAGCCTCCTTCCCAAAGCCTGGGAAGCTTCTGCCCAGCTTAGGGAGGGAGGCGGGATGCTCGCACACGCGACATCAGGACATCACTCTCCCAAATTGCCTTCGCAAGCTGTTCCCCTACGAAAAGTTTCACTGCACAACACTGCATGTTCCCCTGTTCATGGCCTAGGACCCTCGTACCTACGGGACCACCTCTCCCAGTATGCCCCACGGAGAGCCTCAAGGTCCATAAATAGCAACACCCTAGTGGTCCCGGGCCCTAAGGAAGTTAGATTGGCTTCAACCAGAGCCAGGGCCTTTTCAACACTGGCTCCAGCCTGGTGGAACGCTCTGCCTCATGAGACCAGGGCCCTGCGGGATCTGATTTCTTTCCGCAGGGCCTGTAAGACAGAGTTGTTCCGCCTGGCCTTTGGCTTGGAGCCAGTTTGATTCCCTCCCCCTCTTTCTTTTTTCTTTTCCTTTCTCCTCCTGTGATGAGGCTGCATTTTAATATTTTAATGTTTCAATATTTTAATCTTGTATTTTAATCTTGTTTTTAAGTTGTATTCATTCAACTTGTTTTTATTATTGCTTGTTAGCCGCCCTGAGCCTGGCCTTGGCTGGGGAGGGCGGGGTATAAATACTAAATTATTATTATTATTATTATTATTATTATTATTACTGAGCGCTGCGGGGGGTTGCCATTTGCTCTTTGTTCCTCGCCTGTTAACGATTTCTTGTTCTTCAGTGTTTCAGGGGTAGCCGTGTCCCTGTGCGAAGCAGCATACTTTGCCGGCCTTCTCTTGACCACTTGCTGCACGTGAGTGCTCCATTGCGTTCCTTCCCCCAACCCTCCTTCCCTCCTACAATTCAGCTTGGGGAAGCACGTCTGGGTTGAGCTGGACTCTGAGCTCTTTTTGAGAGTTCACCTTGAGGGTGACTGACGTTTTGCTTTAGCCAGCTTCTCATCCTTCTACTTCCACTGTAGCCCCAAGACGGGATCTGGGATGCACACTTGTTGGAAGCACGCCAGACGTCGGGGGGCCTTCCAGAAGTTCCTGATGTATGTGTTGCTCTCGGTAGCCTGCTTCCTGCACCCTGTCATAGTTTGGCACGTCACTATCCCAGGTGAGAGGGTAACTGGGAATCACCAGTAGAATGGGGGTTTAATTTTTATTTTTTTGCAAATACAGTAAATAGTAGCTGTAATCCAAAAATTATTTTAGGATTCAAAAAAACAATACAAAGGAGTCACCGAAAAGCATGGATGTTGCAAGCTGATGAATTAAAGCAGCTGCCTTAACTTCCATGCCATATAAGCTGTGATATGGTGTACAATGGTACCTCGGGTTACATACACTTCGGGTTACATATGCTTCAGGTTACAGACTCCGCTAACCCAGAAATAGTACCTCGGGTTAAGAACTTTGCTTCAGGATGAGAACAGAAATTGCGTGGTGGCAGCAGCGGGAGGCCCCATTAGCTAAAGTGGTGCTTCAGGTTAAGAACAGTTCAGGTTAAGAACGGACCTCTGGAATGAATTAAGTACGTAACCAGAGGTACCACTGTACTGTACTGGTTTGAGTATGGTATGGTATACTAGTAGGAACTGGATATGTTTAGCCTGGAAAAGAGGAGATATGATAGCCATCTTCAAATATCTCAAGGGCTGTCACATGGAAGATGGAGCAAGCTTGTTTTCTCTGGAGGGTCGGACTTGAATCAATGGCTTCAGGATACAGGATACTAAACATCAGGAAAAACTTTCTGACAGTAAGAGCTGTTTGACAGTGGAACGGTCTCCCTTGGGAAGTGGTGGACTCTCCTTCCTTGGAGGTTTTTAAGCAGAGGTTGGATGGCCATCTGTCATTGATGGATTGCAGGAATCTCCTCTTACAAGATAAAGATTCCCAGCTCCTTCAACCATTCTTCATAAGGCTTCGTTTCCAGACCCTTGATCATCTTAGTTGCCCTCGTCTGCACACGTTCCAGCTTGTCAACATCCTTCTTAAACTATGGCGCTCAAAATTGGACACAGGATTCCAGGTGTGATTTGACCAAGGCATAATAATAATAATAATAATAATAATAATAATAATAATATTTATTTATACCCCGCCCTCCCCAACCAAGGCCGGGCTTAGGGCGGCTAACAAGCAATAATAAAAACAAGCTGAATGAATACAACTTAAAAACAAGATTAAAATACAACAATTAAAATATTGAAACATTAAAATATTAAAATGCAGCCTCATCACAGGAGGAGAAAGGAAAAAGAAAAAAGAAAGAGGGGGAGGGAATCAAACTGGCTCCAAGCCAAAGGCCAGACGGAACAACTCTGTCTTACAGGCCCTGCGGAAAGAAATCAGATCCTGCAGGACCCTGGTCTCATGAGGCAGAGCATTCCACCAGGAGGAAGCCAGTGTTGAAAAGGCCCTGGCTCTGGTTGAAGCTAATCTAACTTCCTTAGGGCCCGGGACCACTAGGGTGTTGCTATTTATGGACCTTGAGGCTCTCCGTGGGGCAGACTGGAAGAGGCGGTCCCGTAGGTACGAGGGTCCTAGGCCGTGAAGGGCTTTAAAGGTCAAAACCATCACCTTAAATCTGACCCTGTACTCCACTTGGAGCCAGTGCAGCTGGAAAAGCCCTGGGTGAATATGCTCCCATGTCACAATAGAGTGGTACCATTATTTCCCTTGATATGGACTGATGAAGCCTAGAATAGCATTAGCTTTTTTCTCCTCAAACTGTTGACTCATGTTCAGCTTGAGGTCCACCAAGACCCCTAGACCTCTCTCTCTGTCTCTTTCCTTATTCTCTCCAGGCACGATGCTCGTGGTCACCGGCTTCACCTACTTCCTGCTCAGTAAGCAACAGAAAGAAACCAGAAGACCTGGAGAAGAGCAATACACGGATTCCCAAAGCGCAGCTGTAGCTATGACGGATGCAGGCGACACCGAGCAAACCTACACTTTCCCCAGGGGAGCACCTCAAGGGCAATGCAACTCCCTTCTTGGGTTTCTGAGGAGCTTCTTCAAAAGCTGCAAGAAACTGGACACCGTTGAGGCCTCTTCGAGCTTGCCGCCCACAAGGAGGCAGGTGCACTTTGAAGAGAAGGTGGTGAACATCATTCTTTCTGTCAAAGAAAGCCCAGAAGATCAGGAGAGCTTGGCTGAGGAAACCACATCTGACATGGCTCCCATCCTTCCGCCCCAGTTGTGACAGCCTACAGCGGAGACAGCAACAGCGAGAACGGGCTCTTTCTGCTTCTCTATGATCCTAGTATTTGCTGCAGAGACACCTGGAGGCAACTTGTAGAATAAACCTCCCAGCTTTGGTTTGGGCCAGGGGTAGGCAACCTAAGGCCCGTGGGCTGGATGCGGCCCAATTGCCTTCTCAATCTGGCCCACGGATGGTCCGGGAATCAGCGTGTTTTTACATGAGTAGAATGTGTCCTTTTATTTAAAATGCATCTCTGGGTTATTTGTGGGGCATAGGAATTCGTTCATTTCCCCCCCAAAAATATCCTCTGGCCCACCACATGGTCTAAGGGATGGTGGACCGGCCCACGGCTGAAAAAGGTTGCTGACCCCTGGTTTAGGCCAATGAGAGCAGCCAAGAACTTTCATTGGTTGAAGTTGGTGGACAGGAATGAATTCCCCAATCGTCCCCATCCTGTTCTCCCAAGTCCATTCTTCTCTACTTTTATTGAAGGAGGGATTTGCCTGGTTTTTGTTGTTGTTGTTGTTGTTGCTTCCTTGTTGTTAGCTGTTTGGTTACTACCATAAGACTTCACAGTGTCCAGTCTGTGGAATGGAGCCAGGACTATGTTGCAGAAAACAGTGAACACAGGAACACAGTGACTGAGAGGGACATAGACCAGGCAACAGCTCACATTTTGTGTCAGTGTCCCTCCATGAATTATCTAGAACCTGACATACATAAACGTGTTTTAATTGAGCATTGTGGCTTCCAAGGCCCCAGAGGGGTAGCAAAAACTCCCCTTCCCAAATTTTCTTCAGTGATGTCGTAAGAATTCCTAAAGGATGAAAAACATCTTCATGTATGCGACAACGGCCGCGAGAGTTTTAATAGCACAAGGATGGAAGACGGAAGAAACCCCAACTAAAGAATCATGGCAAGAAAAATTGATGGACTATGCAGAACTGGCAAAACTGACATACAAGCTATGGGACAAGGATAACTGTGACTTTAAAGATGAATGGGAACCCTTTACAAAGTATTTGAAGACGCAACAAAGCGAACTGGACTCCTTGGCCGGTTTTGAATAAACATTCACAAACTTTTTATTGATAATTATTACTTAAATAGTTTGAGGTTCTATACAACTGTGTAACATGCAGAAAACAGCGTTTTTAGAGAAATCAAAGACTGGAACTGAGGGAAGTCGGGGGGTGGGGGGTTCTGTGGGGGGAGGGAGGGGAAGGTAGGAAAAAAGGGGGAAATAGGATGATATGTTTCTGGATAATATGTTTTGTTTTAATTTTGAATAAAAAAGTAGTAATAATAAAAAAGAATTCCTAAAGGAAGGAAGGAAATAATAAGCCCACCAGGTTGTTTTGGGCCTAAAGTTGTCTCTACCTTGCTCCCCTTGACTGTGCTCAGCCAGCAGTAAAATAAAACAGCTAGCAAAAGACTTCCAAGTGTCCCTGTTTTCCAGAGACAGTCTCGGATTTACAGAAGCTGTAAATCTGATTTGATCCTGAAATGTCCCACTTTTCCATAGGATGTCCCTATTTCCTTAGGACATCCCTATTTTCATCGGAGAAATGTTGGAGAGGTATGGAGTTATGTGACCCCTGAGCCAAGGAGATAAGTAACTATACAACTATACAAACTTTAGAAGACACCTGAAGGCAGTCCTGTAGTGGGAAGCTTTTTAAGGTTTAATGTTTTATTATGTTTTTATATATGTTGGAAGCCACCCAGCGTGGCTGAGGCAACCCAGTCAGATGGGCGGGGTACAAATAATAAAATTATTATTATTAGCATGGAATAGGATGTCCCTATTTTCATCGCAAAAATGTTGGAGGGTGTGTAACTAGACTCACAGAGCAGAGTCAGATGAGAGGAAAGGAAAAATAGCCTACAAAGGCTGAGGACCAGGGCATCACCCACCAGTATTTACAGACCCTCCAAGTCACCTTATTTTCCAGGGACGTCCCTGATTTGGAGAAGCCGTCCCGGTTTCTGATTTGATCCCAGAATGTCCTGCCTTTCCTTAGGATTTCCCTGTTTTCATTGGAGAAATGTTGGAGGGTATGGAGTTATCCGACCCCCGAGCTGTCTGAAAGCAATCTTGTTGGGTCCCTTCCAACTCCAAGATTCTTTGAGCTGTCCTCCTGACCAAGCCATTTTATATACACCAAAAAGTGGCTGTAGTTAAGCCCATGTGGCCAAATGTGGCTAAAGAACCATGTATAGTTTCCTCTCCCTTTTGCAGTAATCTGAGAGCGGAGGCAGGAAAATGTCACCCCTCTGCAGTCTGTTGCATGAACTGTTTCATGGTAGCCTAAAGCAATGAACCTGAGATATGGATTTCTCATATGGAAAGCACCCCTTTGCAACCTTCGTTTTGCCTGTGGAATGGAAACGAGTGTCAAACAGTTCAGAGAACGAGTAATATGAGATGTGCAAAGGGCTTTTTGCATACCAAAAACACACACCCTATAATATCATCCAGATACAAAAATAACCCAAACACTTTTGCAAGCAGATGCAAAATACACCCAGTTCTACCTTGGACAAATGCTTGGTTTGGTCACAGATGTAAGACAGTTCCTTTTCTGGGCTGAAGATGGCAATAGATTCCCATAAGAACCGATTGCAGTGGTGATCTGTTAGGTTGCTTCACTTTGGCGGACAGAATGCCCTGCCCTGGCTGTGCAGCTCCCAAACCACACACACAGACCATGAGTTAATACGCTCTCCACAGTGCGATGGTAAAATGCCATCAACAGGTCCTTTGCAGCCTTTGCTGTCACCTGCTCATCTTGATCTGCCAAGAGAAAGGACACTGTGGCAGTGGCTGGGCAACCTGGAATGGACAATAAAAGAGGGGTGATAATCTCGCTCCTCAAGTCTTTATAAAGAGTGCAAGCCAGAAGAGCATGCGCCACCGATTCGGTGCTGCCATCTCCACAGGTACATAAGTGTTTTTCATGTGGAATCTGTCGGAATCGCCCCTCAAGTACAGCTGAGGGCAATACATTCAATCTTGCAAGAGTAAAAGTGCATCTGTATTTTAGAATTGCTAGGTTATGCAGATAGGGTGCCAGAGAGTTGAAACGGGAAGGTGGAAAATAGTCATACCGTGGGCAAAATTTCCTTATTGTGGCCAAGTTGTTCTGATGCTTGATAACATTTAGGCGCTGACAAATTCGACTATTTGCTTTGCGTGTTCAGACCCAGAAACCTCCCCCCTAAATAAATTCACACCTGTCTCAAATTTTGGTTTTTGTTTTTGTCAGAATTTAGGCCACAACTTTATTGATTACAGAAAGTGACTGGTTGCATAGGCTCTGGTTCAACTAGCTCCCTGCCATGCACGTAGCGCTGACCCAGGGTTCCAGCATAGGTCAGCCAAGGGTGAACACCTGGATAAGCGGAAAGCCGGGAATGGGCTAACTCCACCACCCAAATGTCCCCCTGGACTCAGGCACGGGCACAACTCCGTCTCAGGGGTTGACCAAACCATCGAGTCCCTGGATTCTTTTAACAGAATACCCTTCACATAGGGATGGCGAGAGCGTTCTCCCATCCCTATCACCTGAACCAGAGCCTATCCGCACCCTTACAAGTTGTGACGATCTGTTACATGGCAGGCGAAACCCAAATGGCAACAGCCAATCAGCCAAGTAGGGAAAATTCCTGCTGTGCCCCTGTCCCAACGACAGATGACACACGATGGCATAGCAAGGTCAAACACAAATCCCTAAAATTAGGGAGAGGTGGGTGGGTGTTCCGAATGCAAGCGCCGAAAGAGGAAGCTCTGGATCACGTGCATGGGCATAAATAGGTCCCTCGAACCGTTTGGACTGCGTCCCATTGGCCAGATTGCACCCAGCTTCGAGGGACCTACCAATCGGGAGTTGTGGCTGACCAAATGTACCCACCCACAACACAGGGTGTCGGTTTTCCAGGTCTCACCAGAATACATGCCCTCTTTAAGGGAGGACCCAATTTACCAAAACCCCAAGTGAGTAGCTGCTGTCGTGATAAACCACAAGGGTGAAGCTTTTGATAGACAATTTTAGTTCAGGCGCTCTTGTGACAGATTCTTGGTGATAAAAATGCCACCAGTGAAGGACCCCTTGCTAACCACTTAGGCGGCCGGGATAATGCTCTCATTTTTCTCTGGAAAATGAATCTGAGGCATTTTAGCTTTCCCGAGTGTTCGGTGCTCTGTAATGGCACCCTCGCCTGTTCTTTCTGGTTGGCCTTTCAAAGTGCCCGCAGGCTGAATTCAGGCCGGAGATCAAGGCAGCTGCAACACACAGCCTCAACTGAGGGCAATTGTGCTTTGCAGACCTCTGCTTTCTTCCTAGGGAAGCTAATGAACGGAATGAGGGGAGGGAAGCCGAGAAACTAGGAAAGCTTGAATATTCTGGGTGGTGTGGCAGAAAGTTTGCTAGGAGATGTCTGCAGGCAGTGCCGGATTTACGTATAAGCTAAGCAAGCTATAGCTTAGGGCCCCACTATCTTGGGCCCCCCAAAAAAATTTAAAGGAAAAAACCTGGATGTACATTTCCAAAATATAAGATAAAAAATAAATAAAACCTACATACAGCAACAGTGTTTTGTGTTATGTAGGCTCCTATGATGTAAGTCATGGGCCCCGCCTGCTCCCTAAAATATCACAGTTCAACAATTACTTTGATAAAATACATATTTTGTTATGTGCAAATGGCTTTAGATACCTATTAGGTCCATAAATTAACATATAGCATATATTCAACACAAAAAAAACAGTGACAATTTGTTGTTGACAAAGGACAGCTGGACATATAAAGGGCCCCGTTACCTTTAGTAGCTTAGGGCCTCATCAAACCTAAATCCATCCCTGTCTGCAGGTATGAACCAGGTGATTTAACTGCCCATACAGATAGCACCTGAAAGTCTCACACCCCCTTATTATCCTAATACACATATACTTTTCAATAACCTAATATATTCTGTGTAAACTCATTCCAAATATAATT